CAACTCATCAGCAGTCACTCAAAGTGTGTTATGGGGACATTTTGATGGCCATTTCACACACTTCCATTCCTCCTTTACGGGGACCAATTCAATGGACTTTCACACATGTTTAATAGAAGTCACTCAAAGTGTTTTATGGGGACATCGTGAGGGTTCATTTGAAAGAAACATTTAAGTAAAAAGTCCTTGTCTGCAATGACAAAAAAAGGCTTAAAGTATTCTCCTTCCACTATTCCACTTACTGAATATAGTTTAATGAGTTACACATGACAAATCTTATACAAATGACTTCAAATGTTGAAAAGCTTTCTCAGAACTGACAAAGAACCTCTGGAATTTTGTCATGATTGATACAAATTATCCTACCTGTTTCTGAGGGGCATCATTTGCAAATGACATATTCATGTGGCACTGAGGCTGGTCAGAATGATCAACAGAACCTGGAGTAGTGCAATCTGCTGTCACGTGGGTCATCTGTGTGAATCAGAAGGTATGAGGATTTACTATAAAACACTTGAATAATCACCGTCTTAAACAGAGATCACAAATTTAATTTAATAGAACCACCCAAGAAGGCCAAATTACTACCAGAAGTACACAAATCATAGTTTGACAGATGTAAAACAAACGTATTTACACATACACACATCTAGGGTCGGGGACATGTCTCATGAGGACCTTTTCACACCCCCGCCCCATTCCTTCATGGGGACCAATTCAATGGACTTTCACACACGGTTCAACTCATCAGCAGTCACTCAAAGTGTGTTATGGGGACATTTTTGATGACCATTTCACACACTTCCATTCCTCCTTTACGGGGACCAATTCAATGGTCTTTCACACATGTTTAATAGAAGTCACTCAAAGTGTTTTATGGGGACATCTTGAGGGTTAATTTGAAAGAAACATTTAAGTAAAAAGTCCTTGTCTGCAAAGACCAAAAAAGGCTTAAAGTATTCTCCTTCCACTATTCCACTTACTGAATATAGTTTAATGAGTGACACAAAACAAATCTAAGATAATTGACTTCAAATGTTATAAAACCTTTTCAGAACTGACAAAGAACCTCTGGTATTTTGTCATGATTGATAAAAATTATCCTACCTGTTTCTGAGGGGCATCGTTTGCAAATGACGTATTCATGTGGCACTGAGGCTGGTCAGAATGATCAACAGAACCTGGAGTAGTGCAATCTGCTGTCACGTGGGTCATCTGTGTGAATCAGAAGGTATGAGGATTTACTATAAAACACTATAATAATCACCGTCTTAAACAGAGATCACAAATTTAATTTAATATAACCACCCAAGAAGGCCAAAGTACTACCAGCAGTGCACAAATCATAGATTGACAGATTTAAAACAAACTTATTTGCACATACACACATCTATGGTCGGGGACATGCCTCATGAGGACCTTTTCACACCCCCGCCCCATTCCTTCATGGGGACCAATTCAATGGACTTTCACACACGGTTCAACTCATCAGCAGTCACTCAAAGTGTGTTATGGGGACATTTTGATGGTCATTTCACACACTTCCATTCCTCCTTTACGGGGACCAATTCAATGGACTTTCACACATGTTTAATAGAAGTCACTCAAAGTGTATTATGGGGACATCGGGAGAGTTCAATTTAAAGAAACATTTGAGTAAAAAGTTCTCGTCTGCCATGACCAAAAAAAGGTAAAAAATACTCTCCTTCGACAATTCCACTTACTGAATATAGTTTAACGAGTGACACATAACAAATCTAAGATAATTGACTTCAGATGTTATAAAAACATTTCAGAACTGACAAAGAACCTCTGGTATTTTGTCATGATTGATAAATATGATCTTACCTTAATCTAATAGGCATCGTTTCCAAATGACATATTCATGTGGCACTGAGGCTGGTCAGAATGATCAAGAAAACCTGTAGTTGAGCCATCTGCTGTCACATGGGTCATCCGTGGGAGACAGAAGGTATAAGGATTTATAATAAAACACTAAAATAATCATGGTCTAGAACAGAGATCACAAATTTAAATTTAAAGAACCACCCAAGGGGGCCCAAGTATTACCAGCAGTACACAAATCATAGTTTGACAGATGTAAACCCAACTTGTTTGTACACACACACATCTAGAGTCTGGAACACGTCTCATGAGGACCTTTTCACACCCCTCTCAATTCCTTCATGGGGACCAATTCAATGAACTTTCACAAACAATTCCACTCATCATCAGTCACTCCTAGTGCATTATGGGGACCTTTTTAGGACCATTTCAAACACTTCTATTCCTTCTTTACGGGGACCATTTCAACAGACTTTCACACATGATTAAACTCAACAGAAGTCACTCAATTTATTATGGGGACATTGTGATGGTTCATTTGAAAAAGGCTAAAAATATTCTACTTCCACTTATCTACTTTACTGAATATAGTTAAATGAGTTAAACATAACAAATCTTATATAATTGACTTCAAATGTTAAAAAGCTTTCTCAGAACTGACAAAGAATGGTCAGAATGATCAAGAAAGCCTGTTGTAAAGCCATCTGCTGACACGTGGGTCATCTGTGGGAGACAGAAGGTATAAGACTTTACAATATAGAACACTATAATAATCTATAAGTCTAAAACAGTGCTCCAATTTTTCCAACCAAGCCCCATGTTATAAAATACTGAAATGTACCACCAGGTCTGGATCACCATGAAACAAGATAAGAGAAACTTAATTGATCTCACAGTGGAGAATCAGGGTTTATAAAGGTCTAAACTAGACTTCCTGAAGTCTACCTAAAGCCTTGTCTATAGCAGAAAACTCCAAGCTCCAAGTCATAACTAAAACAATCATACAATGTAAAATCACCACCATAGGAGGCCATTTCACACACTTCCATTCATTCTTTATGGGGACCAATGAAACAAACTTTCAAACATAGTTCAAGTCAATAGCAGTAACTGAAAGGGCATTCTTTGTATTAGGTTAGAAATAAGCAATTATTTTAAGCGTGTGTTTGTGACATACTCTTTCTCTCCATGGGCAGTCATCTCCACCATAATCATAAGTAATTTCTTCTCCTTCTTTTTTGTCTCGTAATGCTTCTTTTCATCTTACAATTTGGGTGGATGTGGTCATCATTAACAATACGCCCAAATGTGCCATCTTGTACTGAAGCATCAATGCTGAAAAAAAAGAAATATATATATTGATATATAAAAACTTTTAAACACATATAGTACATACATTATACAGTATAGTGCTACAATCACCAAGCTTACATACTCAAAGCTTACCTATATTTATCAATTCAAATTATATAATACAGAGACAGCTTTTTCAGCTAAATTTTCAAACCCCACAGACAGAGGTTTTTCTGGGCTAATTCGTGGTGCCATTTAAATCATAAAAAACTGAAACAACAGAATGCATAATTATGATTTCACTTGAGTCATTTTTTGAAACAATTCTATTACATTTGTAATTTATTTTATCTGTAGGTTTGGTACAGCTGTTTCTACTATATTACTTCCAAATGTCTTCTATATCTAATATATTTTAATACATAATTACAAATCAAACCTTTACTTTCAACATTTAGTCAGGTACTCAATTAATATATTCATCCAGTACTTCAGTAACTTTTCTTTTTCCTTTCTACTTGAAGAAATTAAATATTTCTGCTATTTGACCCACTTAATTCTTAAAATAAAACTAAACTGCAAACTACTTCTTAATAAGTAAAGCCACTATAGGTTACTGCTATTACATAGAAAGCTTTAGTTGTATCATTCAGAACCTGTATATGTACTGAGAAACCTTTAGTTGCTTCTTGAAAGTACCACACACAAGTTGATTACTATACGAGCTAGTTGCTAATGCTAACAGGTTGTATATTAAAATCACATCTAATCTTGCTTAAAAAGGGAAACCATGCAAAGTAAATCACTGAATCTGTACTTATTACACAGTTTATTCGTTTTGCATGAGCATTGAACAGATACAGTCTTTAGTATAGCTACCAGCAAAGAGTACTCAGATTCTTTAGCCTGTTTACTCTAACATTAGCTTGTTAGCAAAAATCGGTGCTAACTTCCTAGCTAGCTACTTCTAGTACATAAGAAGCTCTACTTATGTAATTTAGTCACCACTCGTTTACTGCGAAGACAACTGTTCGCCATCTGAATGTCCTTGGTAGAATCTGCTGTCCAAGCTAGTTGCTAATGCTAGCTCCAACAAGTTGCCAATGCTAGCTCGAACCAGTTGCATTAGTCTGTACATTAAAACCACAGCAATTCAGGCCACAAAAGTGAATTAGCAATAACTTGGTTGCTATTAAATAACATGCATATATACAATATTTGTTCTAAAATGATTGCAAATTATGCTTACCTGTCTGTTGCATTTGAAAGCAGCTGAAAACAGTTGATTCCAAGATCATCACTCTTGGGGACCAGGATGTGGGCGGTACTTAATTATATATGCAAAGTGTGTGTGGAAACCAATGTGTCTTACCAGTCATTATCACCAGAGGTGCCAATGAGCAACCACAACACACACATTAAACATCACTTACGAGCCTTCTCTAAAACTTTGCCCAGCACCTTCTAAACAGCTCCCCCATTCATCTAAATGGTTTTCCTTATGGGGACCTGGTTTTTGGTCCTCCTAAGGAAATGGGTCCCCATGGCGTGACTGTGTTAACAAATTTCAGTCCCCACAACGTGATGATTACAAGAACACACTCACACACTCACACACACACACACTCACACACACACACACACACACTCACTCACACACACACTCGCAGCTGAAGAGTACTTTAGTCCAGTTGAGTTCATGTTTCAAGTCTGACATGTCCCCAGTGGAGGGTCTGACATCCGCGGGACTAAGTAGACTGGCAGAGTGCCCCTGGCACCGGGGCACCCAGACGGACGAGGATGACCATCGTCACAGACCATGGTCACAGACCATGGTCACAGACCATCGTCAAAGACCATCGTCACAGACCAGGTTTAGAGCCCTGTAGGACACTGGTCTGCACCAGGAACAGAACCATCTGAAATATGGGCACATTTAAAGACAAACCGGATGAAGAAGTGGATAAAGGAGCAGAGCGTGTTGTCTGGAGCCTGTGGAGGAGGAGGGGGCAGATCAGAGAGCCGTGCCCAGTGAGGGCGCAGTCTGCTGGGGGCAACGCTTCTGGCAAACCCCCCTTACCCCCGCTCTGACCTGGAGGAGGCCTCAGCTCCACAGCAGGCCAGAGGCGGGAGGAATACCAACCAGAATACCAACCAGAATACCAACCAGCTGCAACAATACAGACATGCACCAGACACCAGCAACAACCATACAGAGAGGGACCAGCAACAACAATACAGACAGACAGGAACCAGGAACCAGCTACAACAATACAGACATGCACCAGACACCAGCAACAACCATACAGAGAGGGACCAGCAACAACAATACAGACAGACAGGAACCAGGAACCAGCTACAACAATACCAGCTACAACAATACAGACATGCACCAGACACCAGCAACAACCATACAGACAGGAACCAGCAACAACAATTACACGCAGGCAGAGACCAGCACAAGACAGTATATATATATATATATATATATATATATATATATATATATATATATATATATATATATATACAGTATATGTTATATATATATATATATATAATGTTGGAAAACAATGACATCGGTGACACGGTCACCTACAAGGAAAGGATTAAGCTAGCGGCTAAAGAGCGACTCAACTTATTTTTTGTTGACCTTTATTTAAATAACTTTAAAGCAAACACACAAACTGGATTCTGTTTTCTTTTCTGTGACACAAAATAATCAAAAGTAACTTTAATGTCACAATAACTTTGTTCTGAAGTAATCAGCAATTTGTAACTATTTACATTTCACAGTAACTCACTGGTTGTGACTTCATGTTTACGTTACACATTGTTCACACAAAAACATGTTTTAGGGGAATGAGCTGGAACATTGTTTGTCTGTGTGTGTGTGTGTGTGTGTGTGTGTGTGTGTGTGTGTGTGTGTGTGTGTGTGTGTGTGTGTGTGTGTGCATGTGTGTCTGTAGATGTGTATGTACGCATATGTGTGTTTAAGCACACAGTTAAACATGTGTATTTGCGTGCCCCTGGTCCTCATTACTCCGCGGGGTCAGCCGCAGACATGGCCGCCGCTCGCCGAGGACAGTTGGCGAACCGCTCCCTGTTCCCGCTTTAACGAGCTGCTGATGGGGAGAAGCCTCTGTTGCCGTGGAAACGAGGGTGACCTCTGACCCCAGGTTGGACACCTGTATATATTAGGATCACAGACGTATTCAAATGTCCCGGCTCCACGACCGCCTTTTGCTCTTGGCTCGTGTCCTTCTTGTTCTGTCCTAGACTTGACAGGTGTGTGTGTGTGTGTGTGTGTGTGTGTGTGTGTGTGTGTGTGTGTGTGTGTGTCCATTAGACCCACTGCTGGAGGTGACAGTGGCCCCGACTTTGGCTCCGTTGCCTAGACCTTCATTAAACCAGGGGCCTCGTGTGTGCGTCTGAGTGTGTGTGTGTGTGTGTGTGTGTGTGTGTTGGGGCCTTGTGTGTGCGTCTGCGTGTGTGTATGTGTATGTGTGTGTGTTCGTCTCTTTCTCTCAATGTCAGACATCGACAGAACATGATTATCAAATCTGAACATGCTCTTTGTGCTCTTGAGGGATGTGACATCACTTTGGGGTGAGGTGGTTTCGGGCGAGACTCTGGTGAAAGTCACTGATGTGAGAATGTTTCATATCGAGCTTTTCAGACGCTCATAGTCTCTTCATTATCCTCTCTCTCCAAACACTGTGGGGATAAACTACTGTAGCCACAGCTGCCCTGGGGCACACTGACAGGAGCGAGGCAACCAGTCTGTGCCATCGGCCCTTCCCACCACCACCAACCATTCACACACACACCAGACTCATTCTGATGTGGGGGAAGTGTCTTGCCCAAGGACACACCCACAGTTTGGCACTTTGTGTCAGTTCTTTCTTTCACGACCGCTTCATCTGGATAGAACCAGGACTAGGAAACACTCCCAATCAGAGCAGAGCAGAGTAGGGTGGGGTAGGGTAGGGTAGGGTAGGGTAGGGTAGGGTAGGGTAGGGTAGGGTAGGGTAGGGTAGGGTAGAGTAGAGTAGGGTAGGGTAGGGTAGGATAGGGTAGAGCTGGTGGAAGCTTTAGTCCTGGATGAACACATATCTGCTCTTTTGGGGACCTGGGTCTTTAGGGCCTGGGTCTTTGGGGACCTGGATCTTTGGGGCCTCGGTCTTTAGGGCCTGGGTCTTTGGGGACCTGGGTCTTTGGGGCCTGGGTCTTTAGGGCCTGGGACTTTGGGGACCTGGGTCTTTAGGGCCTGGGACTTTGGGGACCTGGGTCTTTGGGGACCTGGATCTTTGGGGCCTCGGTCTGTAGGCCCTGGTTTCAGTCTCTCCAGCCGCAGATAGACTCATATGAAGTGGAAGTAAAGTTTCATTCTCTGGATCCCTCGTGTTGCGATGATCCCAGAGTCGGTACAGGATTAGGTCTCGGTGCAGGATTAGGTCTCGGTGCAGGATTAGGTCTCGGTGCAGGATTAGGTCTCGGTGCAGGATTAGGTCTCGGTGCATGAATCCAAGGCCACGGAACAAGAGAAAGTACAATTAGCTGCATGTGATCTGCGCTGCTGCTTTCATCTCCGCTCGACCAGCAAAACAAAACCCACTTTTAATTGGATCCTACAAATACAGCTGTGATCCTCGGCAAATACTGCACTAACGATATGCAATAATGTACAGAGTGTGTGTGTGTGTCTGTGTGTGTGTGTGTGTGTGTGTGTGTGTGTGTGTGTGTGTATGTGTGTATGTGTATGTGTGTCTGTGTGTGTGTGTGTGTGTGTGTGTGTGTGTATGTGTGTGTGTGTGTGTGTGTGTGTGTGTCTGTGTGTGTGTGTGTGTGTCTGTGTGTCTGTGTGTGTGTGTGTGTGTGTGTGTGTATGTGTGTGTCGTGTGTGTGTGTGTGTGTGTGTGTGTGTGTGTGTGTATGTGTGTCTGTGTGTGTGTGTGTGTGTGTGTGTCTGTGTGTGTGTGTGTGTGTCTGTGTGTATGTGTGTGTGTATGTGTGTGTCTGGTGTGTGTGTGTGTGTGTGTGTGTGTGTGTGTGTGTGTGTGTGTGTGTGTGTGTGTGTGTGTGTGTGTGTGTGTGTGTGTGTGTGTGTGTGTGTGTGTGTGTGTGTGTGTGTGTGTGTGTGTGTGTGTGTCTGTGTGTGTGTGTATGCGTGTGTGTGTATGGCCTCATTACCAGCTCCACAGGTTACAGAGCCCAAAATACACAGCGATAATAAAGAGGCAGAAATTGAAAGAAAAGAATGTGTTTTAATTGAGGGAGAGAACATGTTGTTAATGGGCCAAGGTTAAGTTCGATTTATTTCTGCACATCGCGTCCCACTTTAAGGCAGTCATGTGTTTTAATGCAGTCATAAGTTAGAGAGAGCACAGGGTCGGGATGAAGAGGGGGAGGGTCTTCGGCACAATTATCTGCTCAAGTCGATATTAGTTTGATTTTACTTCAAACCTGCAGAAAATAATGTTTCTTTTGTTTGCACTAAAAATGGTTCGAAAAACAGGTTGGGAATAAAAATACACACGTTAGACTCACCGCTATGTAGGACAAACAGAGACACACAGAGACACAGAGACACACACAGAGACACACAGACACACAGAGACACACACAGAGACACAGAGACACACACAGAGACACAGAGACACACACAGAGACACAGAGACACACACAGAGACACAGAGACACACAGAGACACAGACACACACACACAGATACACACAGAGAGACACACACACACACAGACACACACACACAGATACACACAGAGAGACACACACAGAGACACACACACAGATACACACAGAGAGACACACACACACACAGACACACACACACAGATACACACAGAGAAACACACACAGAGACACACACACACAGACACACAGAGAGACACACACACACACGCACAGAGTCACACACAGAGAGACACAGAGACACACACAGAGACACACACAGAGACACACACACACACAGAGAGACACACACAGACACACAGAGAGACACACACACACACACACAGAGACACACACACAGAGACACACACACACACAGAGACAAACACACACACAGAGACACACACACACACAGAGACACAAACACACACACACACACACACACACACAGAGAGACACACACAGAGACACACACGTAGATACAGGCAGAGAGACACACTGAAGTGGGTTTTAACTGGCCTCCTGCTGGGACTCTGAGGAGCACAGGGACTGGACTCCTGCTGGGACTCTGAGGAGCACAGGGACTGGCCTCCTGCTGGGACTCTGAGGAGCACAGGGACTGGCCTCCTGCTGGGACTCTGAGGAGCACAGGGACTGGACTCCTGCTGGGACTCTGAGGAGCACAGGGACTGGACTCCTGCTGGGACTCTGAGGAGCACAGGGACTGGACTCCTGCTGGGACTCTGAGGAGCACAGGGACTGGACTCCTGCTGGGACTCTGAGGAGCACAGGGACTGGCCTCCTGCTGGGACTCTGAGGAGCACAGGGACTGGCCTCCTGCTGGGACTCTGAGGAGCACAGGGACTGGACTCCTGCTGGGACTCTGAGGAGCACAGGGACTGGCCTCCTGCTGGGACTCTGAGGAGCACAGGGACTGGCCTCCTGCTGGGACTCTGAGGAGCACAGGGACTGGACTCCTGCTGGGACTCTGAGGAGCACAGGGACTGGACTCCTGCTGGGACTCTGAGGAGCACAGGGACTGGACTCCTGCTGGGACTCTGAGGAGCACAGGGACTGGACTCCTGCTGGGACCAGGTTCCAGATTCACGCCAGAATCTGGAACAGTCTTCCTGGAAATGTGAGACAGACTTTTTCTCTGCCTATGTTTAAATCCAGGTTAAAAACAGTTCTGTTCCTCTGAAAGTGTGTGTGTATGTGTGTGTGTGTGTGTTTGTGTGTGTGTGTGTATGTGTGTGTGTGTGTTTGTGTGTGTGTGTTTGTGTGTATGTGTGTGTGTGTGTTTGTGTGTGTGTATGTGTGTGTGTTTGTGTGTTTTGTATCTGTGTGTGTGTGTGTGTGTGTGTTTGTGTGTGTGTGTGTGTGTGTGTTTTGTATCTGTGTGTGCATGTGTGCGTTGGGTGTGTATCTTTGTGCGTCCCCCTCACACCACCGTCTCCAGCCTGCAGGGGGCGCTGCTGTCCTCCTTGCCTCCCACACACAGAGCTTATTATGATGGATGTACACACACACACACAGAGACACACACACACAGAGACACACACAGACACACACACAGACACAGACACACACAGAGACACACAGACACACACAGACACACACTGAGCCAGGAGCCTGCTGCAGGGACTGGCCTGATTGGTCTCTGGGGCTCACACCGAGTGCTTTCCACTTTTGGCCAAAGACTTTAGATTTTAAACATGTGGCATTGACTCTGTGGACTCTATTGTCCACACAACAATGAAACAACCGCAGCTCGGAGCCGCAGCTCGGAGCCGCAGCTCGGAGCCGCAGCCCGGAGCCGCAGCTGGGAGCCGCAGCCCGGAGCCGCAGCCCGGAGCCGCAGCCCGGAGCCGCAGCCGCAGCCGGGAGCCGCAGCCGGGAGCCGCAGTCCGGAGCCGCAGCTCGGAGCCGCAGCTGGGAGCCGCAGCTGGGAGCCGCAGCTGGGAGCCGCAGCCCGGAGCCGCAGCCGCAGCCGGGAGCCACAGTCCGGAGCCGCAGCTCGGAGCCGCAGCTGGGAGCCGCAGCTGGGAGCCGCAGCTGGGAGCCGCAGCCGGGAGCCGCAGTCCGGAGCCGCAGCTCGGAGCCGCAGCTGGGAGCCGCAGCCGGGAGCCGCAGCCGGGAGCCGCAGTCCGGAGCCGCAGCTGGGAGCCGCAGCTGGGAGCCGCAGCCGGGAGCCGCAGTCCGGAGCCGCAGCTCGGAGCCGCAGCTGGGAGCCGCAGCTGGGAGCCGCAGCTGGGAGCCGCAGCTCGGAGCCGCAGCTGGGAGCCGCAGCCGGGAGCCGCAGTCCGGAGCCGCAGCTCGGAGCCGCAGCTGGGAGCCGCAGCCGGGAGCCGCAGCCGGGAGCCGCAGCCGGGAGCCGCAGTCCGGAGCCGCAGCTGGGAGCCGCAGCTGGGAGCCGCAGCCGGGAGCCGCAGTCCGGAGCCGCAGCTGGGAGCCGCAGCCGGGAGCCGCAGCCGGGAGCCGCAGCTCGGAGCCGCAGCCGGGAGCCGCAGCCGGGAGCCGCAGTCCGGAGCCGCAGCTCGGAGCCGCAGCCGGGAGCCGCAGCTCGGAGACGCAGCTGGGAGCCGCAGCTGGGAGCCGCAGCTGGGAGCCGCAGCTGGGAGCCGCAGCTGGGAGCCGCAGCCCGGAGCCGCAGCTCGGAGCCGCAGTGGACGCTTCACACTCACTGTTCAGACGGATACTCTACAGGAGACAACTCACAACTATGGAATCAGCAGCGGTTAGCATCGGTACAGACACAGCAGAGAGAGGGCGTTCCTTCAGAACAGACTCGTCCTGCCCAGAGCAGCTCTGACACGTACACAGGTACACGTACACAGGTACACGTACACAGGTGCACGTACACAGGTACACGTACACAGGTGCACGTACACAGGTGCACGTACACACGTACACAGGTACACGTACACAGGTGCACGTACACAGGTACACGTACACAGGTGCACGTACACAGGTGCACGTACACAGGTGCACGTACACAGGTACACGTACACAGGTACACGTACACAGGTGCACGTACACAGGTGCACGTACACACGTACACAGGTAAACGTACACAGGTGCACGTACACAGGTGCACGTACACAGGTGCACGTACACAGGTGCACGTACACAGGTGCACGTACACAGGTGCACGTACACAGGTACACGTACACAGGTACACGTACACAGGTACACGTACACAGGTGCACGTACACAGGTACACGTACACAGGTGCACGTACACACGTACACAGGTACACGTACACAGGTGCACGTACACACGTACACAGGTGCACGTACACACGTACACAGGTACACGTACACAGGTACACGTACACAGGTGCACGTACACAGGTGCACGTACACAGGTGCACGTACACAGGTGCACGTACACAGGTACACGTACACAGGTACACGTACACAGGTACACGTACACAGGTACACGTACACAGGTGCACGTACACAGGTACACGTACACAGGTACACGTACACAGGTGCACGTACACAGGTACACGTACACAGGTGCACGTACACAGGTACAGGCATAAGCAGCAGCTTCACTGAATACATCTTTATTTAAACAGGAGAGACAGAAAGTCCCGGCCCCGGAGGGAGCACCCTGAGGCAACCTGTGCCGACACGGGGAGAACATGCAAACCCCACACAGAGAGGCCAGGAGGGAAACGGAAAAGTAGTTTTGCTTCAGAAACATCCGACACTTCTGTCCCAATTACTGTCTGCACTTGGTCCCAACACAGACCACAGGGTCCAGAGTCCAGGACTCTCTGAGCCGCTGGGACCAGGTCCTTCAAAGACCGGTCTGTGTCCTGGTCCTGGTCTCTGTCCTGAAGTCCTCTCACATTAGTCCTGGTCCTGGTCTCTGTCCTGAAGTCCTCTCACATTAGTCCTGGTCTCAGGTCTCTGTCCTGAAGTCCTCTCACATTAGTCCTGGTCTCAGGTCTCTGTCCTGAAGTCCTCTCACATTAGTCCTGGTCTCAGGTCTCTGTCCTGAAGTCCTCTCACATTAGTCCTGGTCTTAGGTCTCTGTCCTGAAGTCCTCTCACATTAGTCCTGGTCTCAGGTCTCTGTCCTGAAGTCCTCTCACATTAGTCCTGGTCTCAGGTCTCTGTCCTGAAGTCCTCTCACATTAGTCCTGGTCTCAGGTCTCTGTCCTGAAGTCCTCTCACATTAGTCCTGGTCTCAGGTCTCTGTCCTGAAGTCCTCTCACATTAGTCCTGGTCTTAGGTCTCTGTCCTGAAGTCCTCTCACATTAGTCCTGGTCTCAGGTCTCTGTCCTGAAGTCCTCTCACATTAGTCCTGGTCTCAGGTCTCTGTCCTGAAGTCCTCTCACATTAGTCCTGGTCTCAGGTCTCTGTCCTGAAGTCCTCTCACATTAGTCCTGGTCCCAGGTCTCTGTCCTGAAGTCCTCTCACATTAGTCCTGGTCCCAGGTCTGTGTCCTGAAGTCCTCTCACATTAGTCCTGGTCTCAGGTCTCTGTCCTGAAGTCCTCTCACATTAGTCCTGGTCTCAGGTCTCTGTCCTGAAGTCCTCCCACATTAGTCCTGGTCTCAGGTCTCTGTCCTGAAGTCCTCTCACATTAGTCCTGGTCTCAGGTCTCTGTCCTGAAGTCCTCTCACATTAGTCCTGGTCTCAGGTCTCTGTCCTGAAGTCCTCTCACATTAGTCCTGGTCTCAGGTCTCTGTCCTGAAGTCCTCTCACATTAGTCCTGGTCTCAGGTCTCTGTCCTGAAGTCCTCTCACATTAGTCCTGGTCTCAGGTCTGTGTCCTGAAGTCCTCTCACATTAGTCCTGGTCTCAGGTCTCTGTCCTGAAGTCCTCTCACATTAGTCCTGGTCTTAGGTCTCTGTCCTGAAGTCCTCTCACATTAGTCCTGGTCTCAGGTCTCTGTCCTGAAGTCCTCTCACATTAGTCCTGGTCTCAGGTCTCTGTCCTGAAGTCCTCTCACATTAGTCCTGGTCTCAGGTCTCTGTCCTGAAGTCCTCTCACATTAGTCCTGGTCCCAGGTCTCTGTCCTGAAGTCCTCTCACATTAGTCCTGGTCCCAGGTCTGTGTCCTGAAGTCCTCTCACATTAGTCCTGGTCTCAGGTCTCTGTCCTGAAGTCCTCTCACATTAGTCCTGGTCTCAGGTCTCTGTCCTGAAGTCCTCCCACATTAGTCCTGGTCTCAGGTCTCTGTCCTGAAGTCCTCTCACATTAGTCCTGGTCTCAGGTCTCTGTCCTGAAGTCCTCTCACATTAGTCCTGGTCTCAGGTCTCTGTCCTGAAGTCCTCTCACATTAGTCCTGGTCTCAGGTATCTGTCCTGAAGTCCTCTCACATTAGTCCTGGTCTCAGGTCTCTGTCCTGAAGTCCTCTCACATTAGTCCTGGTCTCAGGTCTGTGTCCTGAAGTCCTCTCACATTAGTCCTGGTCTCAGGTCTCTGTCCTGAAGTCCTCTCACATTAGTCCTGGTCTCAGGTCTCTGTCCTGAAGTCCTCTCACATTAGTCCTGGTCTTAGGTCTCTGTCCTGAAGTCCTCTCACATTAGTCCTGGTCTCAGGTCTCTGTCCCGAAGTCCTCTCACATTAGTCCTGGTCTCAGGTCTCTGTCCTGAAGTCCTCTCACATTAGTCCTGGTCTCAGGTCTCTGTCCCGAAGTCCTCTCACATTAGTCCTGGTCTCAGGTCTCTGTCCCGAAGTCCTCTCACATTAGTCCTGGTCTCAGGTCTCTGTCCTGAAGTCCTCTCACATTAGTCCTGGTCTCAGGTCTCTGTCCTGAAGTCCTCTCACATTAGTCCTGGTCTCAGGTCTCTGTCTTGAAGTCCTCTCACATTAGTCCTGGTCTCAGGTCTCTGTCCTGAAGTCCTCTCACATTAGTCCTGGTCTCAGGTCTGTGTCCTGAAGTCCTCTCACATTAGTCCTGGTCTCAGGTCTCTGTCCTGAAGTCCTCTCACATTAGTCCTGGTCTCAGGTCTGTGTCCTGAAGTCCTCTCACATTAGTCCTGGTCTCAGGTCTCTGTCCTGAAGTCCTCTCACATTAGTCCTGGTCTCAGGTCTCTGTCCTGAAGTCCTCTCACATTAGTCTTGGTCTCAGGTCTCTGTCCTGAAGTCCTCTCACATTAGTCCTGGTCTCAGGTCTCTGTCCTGAAGTCCTCTCACATTAGTCCTGGTTTCAGGTCTCTGTCCTGAAGTCCTCTCACATTAGTCCTGGTCTCAGGTCTCTGTCCCGAAGTCCTCTCACATTAGTCCTGGTCTCAGGTCTCTGTCCTGAAGTCCTCTCACATTAGTCCTGGTCTCAGGTCTCTGTCCCGAAGTCCTCTCACATTAGTCCTGGTCTCAGGTCTCTGTCCTGAAGTCCTCTCACATTAGTCCTGGTCTCAGGTCTCTGTCCTGAAGTCCTCTCACATTAGTCCTGGTCTCAGGTCTCTGTCCTGAAGTCCTCTCACATTAGTCCTGGTCTCAGGTCTCTGTCCTGAAGTCCTCTCACATTAGTCCTGGTCTCAGGTCTCTGTCCTGAAGTCCTCTCACATTAGTCCTGGTCTCAGGTCTCTGTCCTGCGCTGCTGCTGTTGGTGGTTCTGGTCTTATCTGGTTTCTGAACATTGTAAAGTGTTTTGGGTTCCCTTGGTCTGTAAAATGGTGCTATATAAATAAACATGACTTTCTTCTGTTGCTGCTGGTGCAGGTATTGCTGGTGTTACCTGGTGTTGAACATAACCATGCAGACCTCCTCAGGCGCTCCGCGGGGAGAGGCCGACGGTGGCTCTGGACTCTCAGTGTTCTTGTATTAGCTTGTATTAGCTTATATTAGCTTATTAGATTAGTTTGCATTACCTTGTGTTAGCTTGTGTTAGCTTGTGTTAGCTTGTATTAGCTTGCATTAGCTTGCATTAGTTTGCATTACCTTGTGTTACCTTGCGTTAGCTTGCGTTAGCTTGTGTTAGCGTCGGTGCCGGCCCCGCCGTGGCTCGATGGGCCTGACTGATGAGCTGACAGCTGCGGAGGCTGAGTGTGCGAACACACATCACCGCTGGAAGCTAAATAAAAAATCAATGTGAGAGAAGCGTGTTGTGAGAGAGAGTTTAACGTTTTAACTCTGTCTGCTCGGGCTGCGGCAGCGGGCATCGATCCCATCACCTCCTGCTCTCCTTTCATAAATCAGTGTTGTCCGTGTGTGTGTCCGTGTGTGTCCATGTGTGTCCATGTGTGTGTATCCATGCGTGTGTATGTGTGTGTGTGTGTGTGTCCATGTGTGTCCGTGTGTGTCCATATGTGTCCATGTGTGTGTATCCATGTGTGTGTATGTGTGTGTGTGTGTGTGTGTGTCCATGTGTGCGTGTGTGTGTCCATGTGTGTGTGTGTGTGTCCATGTGTGTGTGTGTGTGTCCATGTGTGTGTGTGTGTGTGTGTTACCTGTCGGGCTCCTGCTCACTAATGGAGATGAAAGAGTGTGTCCAGAGCCGTGGGTCGAGTCCTGGAGACTCTGATTAAACCACTCACTACCCAGGACTGAGGCTGTAGACCCAGGACTGAGGCTGTAGACCCAGGACTGAGGCCGTAGACCCAGGACTGAGGCTGTAGACCCAGGACTGAGGCTGTAGACCCAGGACTGAGGCTGTAGACCCAGGACTGAGGCTGTAGACCCAGGACTGAGGCTGTAGACCCAGGACTGAGGCTGTAGACCCAGGACTGAGGCTGTAGACCCAGGACTGAGGCTGTAGACCCAGGACTGAGGCTGTAGACCCAGG